TGAGGTATTTACTACAGCATTCTATGCGGAGGCAGAGATCTGAAGGCAACCCTGGTGTCCATCACAGGGAATGGGTAGGTAAAATATTGTTCAGCATACCACTTATGTAAAATTTTAAAAAAGAAGATACAAAACAATTCATAGTTTTCAAGAACAGATACTAATAAAAGGATAGACAATAAGTACATGAGAATGGTTACCCATGGGGGAAAGGGTAACTAGAGTGGGATATGTGAATAAAGGGGAATAAAAAATATTATAAATAGCACAAAAGAGAATAGAAAAAGGTCCAAATATAATTTTATATAATTTATATAATTTTAATATAAATGTATAACTATAATATAAAATATATTTTATTTAAAATACATTTTTATTTAAAATAAATATAAAAATATATAAAATAATTTTATAACTATAATTTTGTAACTATATAAATCAAGTTTGATTATAATAAATGACTAATTATAATAATTATGATGTAATATATTTAAATGGACTAAACTCACCAGTTAAGACAGGTTGTTACGTTACATTTTTAAAATCCAGCTTACAATTTATAAGAAACATACTGAAAACCTAAGGACAACTGAGAAAATCGAAAGAAAAAGCATGGGAAAAGTTATACTAGGCACATAACTAGCATAAGATATTAAAAGATGTTACCAGCAGATAAAACAGACTTGAGAACAAATAGAATAATTAAAAATAAAGAGAGTCACTACATAAGAAAAAAATTTCAATTTCTTAGAGAAATATGTATAATTTTGAATAAGTCAGTAAGGCTATCTGAGTAACATGGTTAACAAATTTGACCTGACATACATTCATTCACTATCAACTCTGCACCCAACAAGCACAGAATAAACATTTTCAACTTTACTTGGAACGTAACAAAAACTTGATCATATAGTAGATAATAAGCATGTCTCAACAAACTAGAAATTAATAATGAAAAGGCAACTAGAAAAACCCCCATATGTTTGGAAATTAAGAAAGCATACTTCCCAAAGAAGAAACCATAACAGAACTTGGAAGATATTTAGAACTAAACAATTTTTAAATATTACATAACAAAACTTGGACTTAGGTAGTGCTTAGAGAAATTTATAGCCTTAAATGCTTATATGAGGGGGAAAAAAACCTGAAATGAGTAAGCGAAGCATATCTTTCAATAAGTTAGAAAAAGAATAGCAAAATAAACCCAAAGAATCTATAATAAAAGAAATAATAAAGGGTAGAAATACGTGAAATTAAAAAAAATATACATCCAATAAGAGAATCATCAAAACCAAAAGTTGGTCCTCTGAAAGCCTAAAAGATGGAGCAAACCTATGGTAAAACTTTTTGAGGAAAAAAAAAAACAAACTATAAATACATGAGAGTAGGGACAAAAAAGAGATATTATTTAACACACATACTGCAGGTAAAATATTATAAATTTTGTGCCAATAACTTTGAAAGTTTAGATGGAATTGACAAATTCCTACATCTATAAAATGTTCCAAAGTGACTCAAAAATAAATAAAAAATAAAAATAGTCTTATGGTTGTTTTTTTGAATGAAATTAACAGTTAAAAATCTTCTCACTAAGAAGGCATTAGGCACAGATAGCTTCATTGGTAAATTTTCCCAAAAATATAAGGAGCAAATAATTCCAGTCTTAAGCAAGCTCTTCCATATAAAAGACAGAATGCTCTTCAACTTCTTGAAGATAGCAAACTGGGCAAACTTTGCCATTAAAACAAAACAAAACAAAACAAATCAAGGGAAATTACAAGACACTCTAACTTATTAACATAGAAAACAATCCAAACATAATATTAGCAAATGAAATCTAGCAGTGTATCAAAAGGAGGGTCAACTTATGTTTATTCCAGGAATGTAGGGTTGTTTAAAAAAACAATTAATGTAATTCACTACATTAATAGAACAAAGAAATCACACTATCATCTCAACGCAGAAAGTCTTTGATAAAATTTGACATCTATTCATGGCAAAAAGAAAGCACTCTGAGCAAACCAGGAATAAAAGGGAACCTCTTCTACCTGATAAACAGTTTCTACAAAAAACTTACATCAAATAACATACTAAAATGAATGCTGAAAACGTTCTCCTTGGGATTTAGTAATATGCAAGAATGTCTATTTAACCATTTCTATGCACTATTGCACTGGAGGTTCTAGCTGGCATAATAAAACCAAAAGAAAAAAAGTATGATTAATATTTAAAAGTATAAAAAATTGGAGGGAAGAAAGAAGGCAATCATTATTTACAGGTGATATAATTATTTATAGAAAATCCAAAAGAATCTGAGTACAAACAGCTAGATTTATGAGCAATTTATGCACGATGACTACACAGTAAATTAAAATACAAAAGCAACGTGCATTCCCTACACCAGCAACAAACTGTTAAGCAACGTAATTCAAAAAAGGTACCGTCTGCATGACTGTGTACATTTGCCAAAACTCACTGATTTGTACACTTAAAGTAGAAGCCTTTACTGCATGTAAATTATATCTCAAAGTAACTGTAGGAGAAAAGGTACTGTTTCCAACAGCAACAACAAATGTAAAGTACAAAAGATTTCATTTAACATACATAAGACCTTTCTGAGGAAAATTATAAAGCTTTACTAAATAGCACAAAAGGGTATTTAAATAAACAGAAAGATATAACACATTTATGGAAATGGAAGACTTAATACTATAAAGATGTCTTTTTCTCCCCAGTTTGATCTTTAGATTCAATGAATCTCTGATCAAAGTCCAACAAAATTTTATGAGGGACTCAGTAAGCTGATTCTAAAATTTATATGAAAGAGCAAAGGGCAAAGAATAGACAAGACGTTCCTAAAGAAGAAGATTACTTAATCCCTTACAGTAATTAAGATAGTATGATATTGGTATAGCGGTAGACATTTTGACCAAAGGAACAGAATAATGGGCCCAGAAACCAGGCCATGGGTACTTGGGAACTTCATTTATGACAATGGTAGCATTGTAGTTAAGTGGGGAAATGGTGGATTATTCAATCAATGGCCCCGAGACAAGTTATTATTCAAATGCAAAGAGAGAGAGAAAAAGAGAATTAGATATTCTACATTACACCATACACAAAAATCCATTTCAGATAACTTAAAGACACATGGGAAAGGGGCATCCTCAAGACTTAAAGAGAAAACCACTACAATGTTGGAGCAGGCAAGGTTTTGTTTTTTTTTTAAATAAAAACTGCAAATAAAAAACACTATCAAAAAAGGGGAAAGGTTAACAAATTTCACCCCCCCCCCTCAAAAAAAATGGATTACACACAGTAGGTAAAATCCACTATGGAACACAGCGGGGGGAAAAGCATATTTCTTTTCCCAGCAAGAAGAAATCAATGGGAAATCAAAGGAAAAACCACCACAAAAATAGTACAAGAAAGCCAATCCACTTAGAAAGTCAACAGGCATGCTTCTTAAAAATTCTTTTACTTTTTTGTTTAATTGAAGTATAGTCAGTTTACAATCCGTGGTGTGTAAGAAAGAAGATGTCACTGAATTCTGATGAGAACCGCACAGAGATCACAACACAGGAACTAAACAAAAGGATACACAGAACCACGGCACGCTATTCAGCTTCGTAATGAAAGGTACTAACTGCAAAAGCTGTTGTTTGGTTTTCAACTTTCAGATTTAGCCCTCAATAAATCTCAGAAGACTCAGTTATGATCACAGGAGAGAAAAGAAATATTATCAGCTCTGACAATACAAAAGTAATGGCATAGATGGCAGAAATTAGGAGGCCAAAGGAGAAGGGAAAAGTAGACAGAAGGCAATCAGTTCCTCAGTTTACATAGTGGAAGTCAAAAGAAGTTACAGAAACTTGAGGTTTAAGAATTACATTTAAAACTACAAAGGTAACTAATTTTAAAAATGGTGATAAAATTATGAAAAGCTGAGGTGGGTTGACATGTAGAGCTATATATGAGGTTGGTCCTTTACACCACAGGAGCTGAGTAATGTCCAAAACAGATAAATCAAGAAACGGTGCTCTAAATACATTATTTAGATACGAAAGTATCCATTAGCAGATCTAAAACCCAGACAAAGCACAACGAAGGGTGGGAGGATGTGCTGCGTTTCATTGTATGTATTATTGTATTTTTTCTGTATTAATGAATTTTTAATCTATGTATTACTTCAATAAATATGAACATTTTAAAAATTATTGAATGAAAGAAAAGATCAAGAACCCTAAGAGCTCGTTTAGTCAAACTACGTAGCTTGAGTAGGTAGAAGAAAAGGGATGTCTATTCCAACAGAAAAACTTCCAAACGCCTGAAAAAGACTAATGGTCAAAAACCCACTGACTTTATCCAGCAGAGTCCACTGAATATGCTTATTTAATAGGTTTAGAGGCTGATTATTAGTTTTTGTTGTTCCTCCTCCTTATTTTCCTTCTTTCTCTATTTCTCCAGCTTTTTTGTCCCTCTCTAGCTTTCTTTTCTTTAGCATGAATATTCAACTAAAAATAAAACACTAGTTTTATTTATAGAGTATAGTCTTGTGTTTCCTAATTTTCTCTCAATACAAAAATACCGAATTAGGTTGATTTTCATTTCCTTGTTATTTAAACTAGCTTTTAAAACCTCTATGGGCATTATTGTTGTAGAGAAGAAAAGATCTCTACTGGCTGACTTAAGGAAGAACACACATACAACAAAAGGGAACCTTGTTAGACCCAGCACAATTAATTACTCTTCAATGTATTCATTTCCTGGTGGAGACTGCTACAGTACTCAGGCTTCAGGGCTCAGGAGCTAGGTTTCCACACAGATATTTATGGTGATTTAAAGAGCTGAAAGCTGGAAGTCTTAAGTTCCCCAAAAGTAAAGTAAAAACCAGAAGGTTAAATGCTCATGTTAGGTGATATTTGGTTTTGATCCAAAAGAATTCAGAGCAAGGTTTCCATTTCAGTATAATTCATATCCATCTCCAGGTATATACTTACACTATATTTGCAAGGTCAAGTGGTTTCTCTGGTTGCTCAGGAAAAACAGGATGCGGGGGTTCTCTGGTGGGTACACACCCCAAGGATTTACTAATTGCATGGCTCAGCTTCTTTGCAGGGGATTTCTGTGTCAAGGCAGAAAATAAGGAAATCAGGAACGGAATTTTCAAAAGAACGAAAAAGAATTTTTACTTAGTGACAAGAGCTGTAGAAAACATCTTTTCAGATACAAACTAAGTGGCACTACAGTCAACTTAATTGAGCCTTGCAGAAAGGAACCTGCAGTTGTTCTGAGGTCATTTGTAGCCCTTCATTTCTGTGCTCAGCTTCCTCATTTCTACTCTGCAGTCACACTATCCAGTTAGTGTTAACTTTCCTTTTGAGCATTTCTTTGTGCTTTTTGCAGGAACCCCCTCTTTTTATGCTTCTGGATCATTCTTGGTTAAAAGTTATAGTTAATTTTGATCAGAGTCAAAAATTTTTGCTGGACTGAAATACTAAAAGGTTAAGATAATGCTGAAAGCTCATGGCTCTTGAATGTTAGCCAATTAGCTGACTAAGATACTAAGAGAGTATTCCTCAAATAAATGTGAAACAGAACATTTTGTGTTAAGGGTCTGGCTATGTATCCAGATACAAATGTGTGTCCTCACACACGCAAGCAGTAAGCATCAGATCTGTGACTCTAAATTATGATATGCTGAAGGTACAAAAATAAGTTGGCATACTAATACATTACTCGGGAAGGGAGAACAGTACACACCAAATCCAAGACTATCAGGCCTCAGGTTTAACAATAAATATGCACAAAAGTAAACAATACGCCACCACTAAGTTATGCAGAATACGAAACCCATATTTAAAGGAAGTTCTTTATATACTTATTTTATTGACCACCCACTTCCCTTTAAATAACGCTGTTGTCTGAGATTTCCTTGGCAGGATACTAATTGCAAAAAAGTATAAATATTTCAGTTTTCTGCCTCAGTAGTGCGTTACCATATGTACCACTCTTACTGGAAAATGGAACTTGTTTGCAGCTGTGTGTCTCATCAATAGCACATCTCCAGTTTTATATGCTGCTTACCTGTGTATTTTAACACAAAGTAAGTAAAAGTCTGTTTACCTTTAAGACTATATAGGGAAAGTTAATTAATACCTTGCTTCTAACAGACTGAATAATACCAACTTTTTCAGAAACTTCATATATTGGCTCCTAATCACCTACCACTATCCCCTTCAACACATTAAATTCTGGGAAAAATCTGTAAGTAATCTAATTTCCTGAAAATCATATGAAGCTAAACAAAACAGAAATTCTGAACTTCCCCACAACTGTTCTCCATGGTCCCTTTGCTCAGCAACCAACTGTAACGTGACCCTGATTCTTCCTCCTTTATTCCATCTTCTACAAGACCCCAGACATCGTGTCAGTCTTCTACTTAAAATCCTTCAGAGGCTGATTACCATTTATAGACTAAGATCTAAACACATACTATCAAATTCTATCATATTCAAGAGCTTCTCTACCAGGCTCCTGCCTCCCTCCACACCCTTCTCCGCACATCAGCATAAACAAGCTGCTCAGTTAACCCAATGCACCATGCTCTCTTCGATCACTGTACCTTGGCACGTGCCTTTCCGAGGTCTCCCTTTCCCAATCTACCTCTTTGTAAGTTTTTTGCTCACCTCTGAAGACTACTTGTCTCCCTGCCTCTCTGAAGACTTTCCTCACTGTTTCGTAAGTTGGTACCCACCTTTCCACGCTACCCACTTGCCAAGTACAAATTTTCCCTGTTGCCCGGTTCCAATACAATACTGAACTTTTAAATTTATGTGCCTATCTCTGTTAGATCTGTGCTCTTGAAGGGTAGGAGCTATACTTTATTCATCTGTGTATTTCCAGAACCTCATCTCCAACAAGAATATGTTATTTGAACAAATTATTTACAGAGATGAATTTTCTAGATTGCTTTTTCCTGACTAAACCACATAAGCTTAATTTTTTGAGGGTTATGATATGAGTAGGAGACAATCAGAGGACACCAATGAATATCCTAATTCACCTTTACAACTAAACACTACATCTGTAACCCATGTATTCAGTTCCTGATTTTTTGCTATATCTGAGAACCACCTGGGCCACTAATTCATGCAGTCTATGTGAGATAGATTATCACACAGACTAGTTTAGCTGCATCCTGAGTAACACCAGCCATGAAATCACAGGCCACGAAAATGTGTATTTTACAATAAACATTAAGACTGTTAAAATAAAAAATGTTTCCCCTCATACCACCTAATATTCTCCAGCAGCATGCTTGTCGTGCCTTCGAAAATACTGCTCTAAGTCAAGGTTTAAGATTAGATCCCATTTCAAGTCTCAAAAATATAGACAGGAAAATAAAATCAACACATCAAAGCTAATTCCAAACATCATGAGATGCTTGATATGTATGGGAAGGAGGAAGCGGAAAAAGACTGAAAATAAATATATACAGGAATTAACTAAGGGTTAGGATCAAACCAAAAAGGATACCCTGAAGATTTTACAGATAATGCATTCAATTAGGTTGTCTAAATAGACAAATGATTTCCTTAAAAAGGTCTCAACGAGTGAATTAGGAGACGGGTCTGAAGTGAATTTCATTGTGGAGCCAGGTCAGGAAACTGAGATTAGTAAAGCCTGTAAGCAAGAGTTCAAAACTACTATAAATATGTACCAAGGAAGGGACATTACCTCTTCTGGCTACTCGGGCCCTAAGACAACGCCCAGGACTTGGTAGTCGGTCACTAAATATTTACGGAAGTGAAGGGAGTGGGGGAGAAAGAAAAATAATCCAGGTGTAGGGACTGGGGGCTCCCACACTTCACTGCATTTAAGCTACTAGGCCAGAGATGTTCCCTTAGGTCTTGGCACCTACGTCTCCCCTTACTTGAACCCTAACACGTATAAGGGGAGACGTGCACCTAGAAAATCAGATCTCCTCCACTCAGGCGATGATTTTCAATCTTAGCGCATTTTCAGTACTTTAATCCACTTTACCTAATTTCAAAATCTCTTATAAATATTGCAAGTTACATTTTTAAAAAATACATCAAAAAGTGGATAAAATGTGTGTGTACAGTCTAAAAAGTGACAGAACAAATACCCATTACCCACTACTATGGCTGAGAAATAGACCATTACCGTCACTTTGAAGCCTCACTGTGGGCCCTTATCTAACACACCCCACCCCTTCCACACCTGCTCCTCTCCTGGTATTTTGTATTAATCATTTCCCCAACTTTATTATTTTAGCAATTATGTACTATAAATAATACATGATTTATTTAATATATGTGTAAAACCTATATAGACAAATATTTTTTCTGCAACTTGCTTCTTATACTCAAAATTATGTTACAGTTAATCCATGTTGATACATATAACTGTAACTCATTTTTTCCCTGCTTGACTGTACTTCATTGCTTAACTACATCATAATTTATACAGCCATTCCAGTGCTGATGAACATTTGGGTTGTTTCCATTTTTTCCGACTCAGTCACAATAAGGCTATAAAACTTTCTTGTCCATGTCTCCTGGTGGCTATGTGAAAGAATTTCCTAAGAGTGGAATTATTGGCTCATAAGTTATACACGTTCAGTTTTACCAGGCACTGCCAACTTGTTTTTACAAAGTGGTTACACTAATTTCCACTCCCATCAGCTGTGCGAGGGACTTCCTGACTGTGTTCTGGCCAACCCTGGTTACGGTCAGACATCTAACATTTGCCAATCTGGTGGGTGATAAATGTTATTGTGGTTTGAATTTGTAATTCCCTTATTACTAGAAAGACTGAGCACCTTTTCCAATGTTCACGGGCCATTTGTGTTTCCTCGTCTGTGAAGTGCCTCTTCCTGGCTTTGGCATAGTGTTTCACTGGGCTTGTTTACTCTTACTGATTTAGTAAGAGTACTTGAAATTTTTTGTATTTTAACCCTACAAAAGTTAAATCTTATGAACAACTTATCATTTTAAGGTTTATTTTTCACTGTATTGCTTTTGATGAATAGTCATCTTTAAATATACAGTAGTCCCAATTTAGTAATCTTTTCTTTCATATTTTGTGCCTTTTGTATCTTAAGATATATTCCCCTCCCTGAGGTCACAGAGAGATCCTCCTAGATTGTCCTCATTATTTTAATAGTCATTTAATATTGATCATTTTGATTATCAATTACCTTTATCCCATAATTTTAGAGGTTTATTTTCTCTTTAAACTTCAGACACGTATACAAGGATATTTTTTTCTTTATGTTGTTGATTTCTAATCTTACTGTATGTGCTCAGGCAAGGCTCCATTCTGAGGAAAGGAAGAAGGAGGTGAGGGAGTGAGGCATGTAGACATTTGGGGAATAAGCTTTGCAGGCAGATATATATATATATGTTTGTGTATACATATATATATACACACACACACACATACACATACATACACACATATACATACACACACACATATATATACACTCAGTGTTATCATGAGCAGGACAAACAGGCTCACAACTGATATCAACTCTTATAAACTATTTTTAGCATTTTAAATTCTCCATCTTTGCCCCTTCCAATGTTGTTTGCCTTGTTTTGTCTCATATTAATATTTTATACTACCTTTTTCATCCCTTAATCATCAACTGTTCGTATCCATCTCTAAAATAGCATGTGGTTTTTGTTACTTTGTTAAATTTGAGTTTTTCACATTTTTAGTAGGTAAGTTTAATTCATTTTCATTTACTTTAATTACTGCTGTGTATGTTTAAATGTATTCCTAGCAACTTATTTTATGTTTTCTATTTTACCATGATTTTCTATTTTCCCATCTTCTATTGGATTGGTCAAAGTTGTTTTTGCTACATTTTTTTTCTAATGGTTTTGAAGTTTTATATCTAATCCTTCCAGTTGTTACTCAAACTTTTAATGCATGTTTAAAATTAAAATTATATTTTCTTACAAGTTAGAGTTAATTACATTATATTATCCTCCTCCTGAAATCTTTAGTGTGTTTTTAATTCCCCTTTTCACTCCATCTAGCCACAAATTCCATGTTGCTATTTTTGCTGATTCAGGTTACATCTTACTA